TTCCAGAGTGAAAATGCAAATTCAAGCGTAAAAATAGGTGCAAAAGGGCGTCTACAGCACTCGGTGTTCCCCGGCGGTCACCCATCCAAGTACTAACCGAGCCCGACGTTGCTTAACTTCAGTGATCGGACGAGAACTGTTTTTTTTTTTATCTTGTAAAATTTTTTTACTGACTACATATTTACATTAAAATCATCATTAAAATATCACATATATTTGAATGTTAAAATAGTACAGGAATAATAGATAAATTATAATTATTATAAATCACATATTGCTTCAAAATGAATTAATCTATATTTACATAAACATTATCACCATCCAGTTTAACATAAGGATGTGATAAAAACATGAGAGTGAACTTATGTCCAAAACCTTTCATTTGTAAATAGTACTTTAAATTTTTAATATAATTTATAAACATTCTCTTAAATAAGGTACATACATTAACTATTATACCATTTTTATTGTATAAAGTTCGCCTTCTAATAATACTAATTGTAGCTATTGAAAATACTAAAATAAGAAATACATTATTATTTTCTTTTCTAATAGGATAACCAAAAATCATCCAATATTTAAACTGATCATAAGTAAAACCAGTATTTTGAGAGAAATATTCTAACATATCTTGAATCATATTTAAAAGAGGCTTAATTGATGTACATTTAAAAATCATATGTAGAAGTGTTTCATCTGATAAATCATTACACAATTTACAACAAGGATTATCTAATATGTTAATATTGTACAATTTAAGATTATTCCAAATTATATTATGTACGATTTTAAAATCATTATCTATACATTCAGAACTTTTCATAGATACAGATTTCCATACTTGTTTCCATTCAACATTAAAACCATTACTTTCCCAATGAGAAATACAAGTAGGATCTTTAAAAACATTATCTGTAAAAAATTTATATACAACTCCAGATCTTAAATTACTTAAATCATAACTATTCTCATCTATAACTAATTGACACTCAATACTATTTTCTGCAAAATCTGAATTAATTTTAAGTTTATCTATCCATTCTTTAGGCAAAGCTTTCAAAATAACATCAAACTGATTTTTAACACTCTTACTATTTACATCATATTCATCATAAAATGAGTCTAAAATGGCTTCATAAGGCAATATACCAGGCAAAATGTTATAACAAAGATCACATACTTTGATTAAACCGACATTGACATAATTTTGAAAATAAAATGATTTTGCATTATGAATTATAAAAGGATTATCAAAAATGGGTTGATTGAGAATATCATTAATATATTCAGGTATAAAAACTCCTTGTGCTCTTAAATCCCTCCAAGCTTTCAACATAG